AAGTACAATTAATAGTTCACTGGAGTTACGAACTGTGGCAACAGCAATCCTCAACACTTAGGCCATTACCTAGGTTTTTAATCCAGGCCCCGTTGGCCCTAACTCATTCTCGTTCTCCTTTGCACTCATTCTATCACCTACACTTGCTGGCTCCTTTTTAGACACCGTACACATTATGGAGAAAAAGCTAAAGATTACAACATGTAAACACAGCTTAAGAGTAGCCTCCCACCCACATTCCTGCCATTCAGTAATTGGTTAATATATAATCATGATGAATAGATTGTGCCCACACTACCCTTCCCATTCCTGGCCTTATGTTTGATTTTTGTAGCAAGTAGTCAACGTCCTCTCATCAAAGCCTCAGGAAACCAGACCCAGAGACTGAGGTATTGAGGTATAAGGCAGGGGCCAAGCCCAAGCAGGGATTTCAGCATTGGCAGCCACAAAGGAGTTCACTGTTGACTCACACTTGGCCTGGAAGTTTTTATTTGCATGTAGGAGGGGCCAGTCATCAGTAAGACTGAGAGAAGCCTGATGAGCTCTCCCTTTATCACAACCAACCTTGGGGATCACAACATGTTTGCTCTCACAGGTCAACATCATTTATGGAGTGTGCCAGATTCTTCAGTGAGTCGCCCTCCCCCACTCCCACCTCCACCCCCACCAAATGGAGAGAACCACTGGAGGGGGGGTGTTTTGTTTTATTTTGTTTTTTTTAAAAGATTTTATTTATTTATTTTTAGACAGAGGGGAAGGGAGGGAAAGAAACATCAATGTGTGATTGCCTCTCATGCACCCCCTACTGGGGACCTGGCCTGCAACTCAGACATGTGCCCTGACTGGGAATCGAACTGGTGACCCTTTGGTTCACAGGTTGGCACTCAATCCACTGAGCCACACCAGCCAGGGCAGAACCACTAGTTTAAATGGAGGTCCTTTGAGAGGTGGGCTCAGTATGAAGGATTAACAAACCTTTCCCATGATTTATATTTATGGACCTGTCCAAAAGCACAGCACATGAGACAGCTTTAGTAGCCTTATAAAAGATGCTAGCAGTCTTATAAAATTTTAAAACCAGTAATATGAATGTTAAATCTATGCTTTCCTCAATGCCATGAAAATATTTGGACTCTGACTTTGGCTATTTGACATTTAAATGTATGTTATAAGCTACTTTCGAAGCTTTATTCACCCTTACCATTTTCTCAGCCTCAACTCTACATATTTTCCCAACTTCCTCATTCCACTTAAAACTTTTAAGTGGGCCCCCAAAGGGAACTACGATGTCCGAGTTACTAATATAGTCCCTGTTTACAGCCATTCTGGTTTCACAAGCAGCTAGACAAGAGCTGGGCAGCAGGTCCAGAGAACGTGTGTAGGATGATAGAAGTGAGGAAGATTCTGGGCGAAAATGGAACTGGTGGATTTTCTGATGCATTGGACCATGTGGAAAACTATTATGGAGAAGCAATGAGATATCCCTGAATCAAGTGGAAAAGTGAATTATTAATTTCAGGAGAGACAAAATATTTACAAGAAAGGAAATATAATTATATCACACTATTGGGCTCAAGAGGGAAAAATGTTTTCATAGATATAATGTAAACTCTTAATACAAATTTATCATAAAATATTAAAACATTATATTGAGAGAGTAGAGAGAAGGAAAGTTTATGGTAAGAGAGTTATATATAAGTGCTAAGTCCTTATCAGACATACTAGAAATTCATAAATGTCTAACACTGAGAAAACAAGGAAGAGCAATATAAGCATACTTTGTGGAAATATAAATATAATAGAAGAAATCGCTAAATGTTGAAAATGATGGGCTCCGATGAGCAAGGCTGAAAGGTAGAGGAGGTAAAGATAAATTTTTGTTTTTCATTATAAGCTTTAAATACTGTTTGACTCTGACACTATTTGCATGTACTGCTTTGATAAAAATAAATTTTAATTTTTAAAAATATGTGAAAATTTGAAAGGCCATGAACTGATAGTTCACAAGAACTGAAGACCTTATTTTAAATAAGAGAAACGCAAATTAAATCTAAATTGAGATGCTGTTTTTCACCAATCAAATTAGGAAAAATCCAAGTTTGAGGCCATCCTCTTTTGGCAAGGCTGTGGGAAGGACAAAATGGTCAACTGCCATCAAGGAGAATCAGGCACTATCCATTAAAACTGCAGATGCATTTCTCTTTGACTCAGCAAACCCTGTTCTAGAAATGCACACCAGACACTCTTACATGCATATGAAATGACATATGTATAAAGATCACTCATTATAACACTGTAAAAGCAAAGGATTAAAAAGAGTCCAAATGTCTGTCAATAAGTAGTTGGCTAAATAAAGTACAGTTCTATCACTTAGTGGAAAATAATTATGTTCTCAATGAATAAAGATTAAAAAGAAACCTGCATAATTTTATAAGCAGCCTCCAGGCCCTCCAAAGGTCAGGGGGCTCTATTAGAAGCCTCTCAGACAGAGCAGACTCTCTGTCCTGCCAAAGTCTGAGCATAAAGGGAACTTGATTCTCCACCTCTTTCAAAATCTTAGACAAAGCAATACAGGCAGTGGGTGAGGCAATGTCAGAGTTAACATCAGTCCTTGGTTCAAATCCCTCTTTTAAAAAAAATTTTAATTGGTTTTTAGAGGGAGAGGAGAAGGGAGGTAGGGGTAGAGAGAAAGAGAAACACAGACTTGTTGTTCCACTTCTTCATGCATTCATTAGTTAATTCTCGCATGTGCCCTGACCAGGGATTGAATCCGCTACCTTGGCATTATCAGGTCGATGTTGCAACCGAGCTACTCAGCAGGGGCTCATATCCCTCTTGGCCATTGCGTTAACTGAGGCACTCAGACTTTGGTTTCTCATCTGTAAATGGGGATAAAATTCTCTACCTCCCAGAGTATATGTGGCATGGGGGCACAGGGCCAGGCCCACAAGAAGTGCCCAACAAGAGAAGTTATTATTAATAGTGCTCTTGGAAAACGGAATCCTGTCTCCAGGATTAATGTGTTCATGAGAGGAGGACAATCATCTTGGAAATACCAAGATATGAATGAAAAGTCACTGCTCTGAAGAACAGAATAGGAATTTCCCTTTGTGACCCGGCAGTTTTGGAAGAGATTTTTCAGCCACAGGCAGGAACATGCACCTCCAGTCTCTCACTGTCGCCGCCTCCTCCTCCGGGACCGGCAGAGACTTCCTTCCCTAAGTGCTCTACATCAGCAGGATTGGCGGGACTAAGCTTACAACACCATCTGTTTAGGACAAGGAAGCCGAGGATCAGAGAAGCCAGTGATGTCCTCGAGAGCACACAGGCGGCAGTCCAGTTCCACAGCCAGGAGGAGCCACTGACAAAGTTGCTCATCGGGCATACATGTTATAAGAGCAGTTCTCCAGTGATTCAAAATAGAATAAATCTAAAAGTGAGAACTCAGGACACTGAGCTAAGCTGCCTTTAGTCACTTCTGAATGGGGTTGTAATCCATATGAAAGCATATGGTCGATATTGGTGGAGTAAGTAATGTGTTTATCATGTCAACCCACCTTCATGGCTGTGCCTATGCTTTCCCTTTTATATATAATACGTCCTGTGGAATGAAACCCCAAGTGTAGTGGCGGTTTGTATTGCAATAAAAACAAGCATTTCTAGAATGTGCCCAATCCCTGCTCCAGCAGTGATTAGGCAAGTAATATTGGGTTTCCATTTCCTCATCTGTAAAAGGGAATATCAGCCACCTTCATCATACTGTTGCAAAAATAAAATCGTCTACCTATGTCTGGCACTTAGCATGCACCACTTCCTGCAAACCCAGATCCCTCCTGTGGGTCCTGATCAGTTCCACGAGAGCCTCCTGATCTGCTCTTTGAATTCCAAGGAAAAATTTCCCCCTAAGACTCTCGAAAGAAGGAAAGAAAGAAGAAAGAAAGAAAGAGAGAGAGAGAGAGAAAGAGAAAGAAAGAAAGAATAACTTTAATGATATTTACATAGGTAAATAGTCTTTAATTTTCTCAGCCAGAATCAAGAGTTATATAAAATCTCATTGAGAAGAGTTGAGAAGGGTATTTCTTTTTCCAAGTCCCCAAATACCTTCTCCATCCACATTTCCCATGGGGACTGGTTCCCACCATGTCTACCTCGATCTAGAACACTCTGGAGCCAGCTGTACTCACTGGGTTCCTGATTCCCCCACACTCCTACCCCAGGCATGGCTCATGGAAAACACTCAATAAGTGGTTCTCAGCTGCACAAAGCAGAATGAGGAGATACATTTCAACAAAGATATAGTGAGTATCTACTATATGCTAGACAGTGAGCAAGACCTTTTTCACCTCTCATATTTAATTATCATAGAAATCCTGAGAGGTAGTCATCATTATTCCCACCTTACAGATGACAAAACAGAAACTCAAAGCATTGAATGACTTTGCGTAACGCCTCATGGTCAGGAAGGGGCAGAGTGGGATGGAACCAGGCCTCCAAGTGTGTCATAACAAGGAGGCTCCAGCTTCTAAAGCAAATTCGTAACCGTTTTCCCTTTCCACCCACCCCCCTCAGCACAAACAGAAACCCCTAACTTTCAGCAAGTCATTTGATAACTTCAAAAGAGGGGCCACATCCTTTTCTCTACCTCTGTTGGTGAACAAAGACAACGTTGTGTTTCCCACACACTAGTCAGACCAAAGGGGAAAAAATTCCCCATGACTTTAGTAATTTTCCATCTTTCAAAACAAGGACACTTCACACAGAAGATTTATCACAATATATAAACATTGCTTTTAAATAATCCCAATCTTTCTTAATATAGCTTAAATCCTAAAATGTAAGTTTGACTAGCTTCCTTTCTTGTATCTTGAATAAACACCCAAGACTAGATAGATACACAAACCATAAATGCAACAGTCAACTAGTTAGATTTGACTTTCACGTAAATATAGAGATTCCTGACAACTCGCACCCAATTTGACTCTGGTCTTTCGCTTACTGACCTGAAATAGTTGCTGGCCGCAGCAAGTACCACGCGGTGGCAGGAGAATTCCTGAATATCCACACACAAGATGACATCTGTCAGAGAGTTTTCCACGCGGAGGGTCTCCAGGCCATTCTGCAGAATTAAGGACAGCCCAGTGTCGTCAAACTTTACCTTGTCCCCGTTTAAGATTTCTACCAGGTCTCCCTTTTTCTGGGAGGGTTCATCTGTAGGAGGTGCCAGGGGCCCTTCCAGACTCTTCTCTACCACGTCGCCCATAGTCCAGGCACCCCTTTGTCCTGCCATTAACATCCAGACTGAAGGAGCGCCCAAGTTTCAGGCAGGTCACATTGCAGAAGCAGAGCGGATTTCCTGTGCAGGGCGCTCCACTTATCACCAGCTGTCACACACACATAACAGGAAGTCTCGCACTTTCTCATCCTGTTACTACAAACGCCAATAAGTTCTATTCTTCTTCTTTCTGTGAATATTCGCAAGGTTAGAAATTACATAGAAAGGGTGTGTAGGAAGGGGCTCCGGGAGAGAAGGAGTGGCTTCTCAGAGTCTGCTATTAGTGTTGTGCAGTTATTTCGGTCCACTTCCCCCCCATATCCGTGAGCAGGAAGCCTCTGGTTCTGGTTATTACATTTGTATTCCTGGTGCTTCTATAACTGAAATTGTCAGCGATGGCATGGGCAGGGGGCATTCTATTGTACAATCCCCTTCTGTCCTCCCCAGAGTCTGAGCCCCCACAGAGTCCCTTGAGAACCTTGGAAAATACAAGTATCTCTGGCATTCTCATTTCTATCAGCACTTCACACCTTCTGTCTTTGTCTTCCTCCCTGCTCAGGGAAAACAATGGCATGGCAAATATTAATGTTCCCCACCCTCCTTTCCAAAAGGTCTATTGTTTCAGATATGCCTCTGGGGACAGAGAAGAAATCGTCTCCAGAAACTCCATCCTCAGGGTCTTCTCCCTTAGAAGACTAATCAGGGTTGGTCTTCAGATTACCCTACCAAATCTCAAATTGGCCTGATCTCACCCAGCATCTATTGGTCATGCCTCTAGTGAGGGATCAAGAAGCAGTTCCATGACCTCTGCCGATCTCCATTAAACAGCAGTAACTATCTTTTATTATTAAACTTCCACTATATCCTAGGACAATTTTAGAAGTTAATGCATTTTAATCTTTGTAACAACCCACTGGGGGGTAGATATGACTTCTCTCATTTTACAGCTCAAGGAAACTAAAGCTCTGCTCAAGGGAGTGGTAGGGCCCAGTTCCCTTTGGCTCTGAAGCCACTCTTTCCTCCGCCACCATCAGGCTCTCAGAGCTGTAACGTCATGTTGACTTAACTCCAGAGTCTCCCACAAAGGGAACTGCAAGGCCTACATGCCATGGCTGCACCATTTGGCCACCTCACACCAAACACCAGGAAATATAAGTGCAATACCATGATTGGCTTGAACAAAACTTGATTCATCCACTGAGACTGGTCCACCTTCTCCAAGATCTAGTAGCTGAACAAAATCAGGGTCTGCTAGCACAGGAGAGGGGGACAGGCGGGTGTGCAGTAAACCTCCTGTGCTGCTACAGGGGCATGCATAACCCCAACTCTCCCTGCAGGCCTTGGCTGGAAAGAACTCAAATTGTAAACAACACTGACTATATTTGACTCCACCCCAATCACCCTAAATAAAACAAAACTAAAAATAAAACACAATTCTTGAATTTGTGATGAATCTTGTTCACCAAGTTCCCCTATTATTTTCCATATACCTTCCAAGCACCCCCATCCCATCTCTGATGTAAGCAGATAGCTGTTACATTCCCCACAACCTTCCATTTCCTAGTAAACAAGCACACACCTTTGGGATGATAATATCTACAATTACACTTTAGTGCAAAAGTAAAACACAGTTGATTGGGCATTTATGTCAACCTGGATGTGCTCTAAAATTCAGCATGAACTGGTAAATATTCTTTATAACTAGAGACAAAATAGCTATTCTGCAAAAGTTTAATGTCCCTACCAGGTAACCAAATGCACAAGCCATTGTGCATTGTGCAAAAGCTTTATTACTGAGAAAACAATTTAATTATATCTTACTAAGCTAGTTGGCTTTATGATGCTTGTAAGGAATAGATTCTGTCCCCAGGTAAGTTGGATCAAGGAAAACCTCAGTTTCTAAGGCCACAGACTGCCCCTCTGCCTCCAATCAACTGTCTTCTCTAATACCAATTATAATGATAGACATAAGTCTTAACTCAGCCAGTGAGGAAGAGCCACTGTTTCCTCATGATAACTTACTACTTCAAAATGATCTTTTATTATTATTTAAAGAATTTATTTATTTATTTTTAGAGAAAGAGGAAGGGAGGAAGAAAAAGAGGGAGAGCAACATCAATATATAAGAGAAACATGGATTGGTTACCTCACACACGTGCCCCAACCAGGGACTGGCCGAAACCCACCATGTGCCCTGACTGGGAATAGAACTCGTGACCTTTTGCTTTGCAGCATGACACTCAACCAACTGAGCACATCACTAGGGACAAAATTGATCATCACTTGATATGGAGCATCAACTATATTCCAGGAACTATGAGAAGCACTTTATGAACTCTAATGCACGTAATACTCCCAATAATCTAATGCAGTTCACTACAACAATCTGCATTTCAGAGACAAGAAAGCAGATCAGGTCACATAATTGCAGCACAAAATACCAGTATCACACCCATATCCCCTTAGCTCACCCTGGAGTTCACCCAGAGACAGTTCCCATACATTCCAAAAACATCACTGTGTCTGAAAGCGTTCCCTGACTACAACAGAACATCAGCTCACGAGAAGTGTTGGAGAGTTAATGCCCCAAGAGTGACTTCCAACTGAAGGCCAGGAGTTGGTAGATGAAAGGCTAGCTTCCTTCTATCTTGGTGGGACAATGAAGTGTGTTCTACACTGCCAGAGGATTCCCAGACTGCGGGGCTCCAGTTGCCCACAGTAGAGCCCTATTCATCCTCTGAGGGCTTCCCACCCTTTCCACCCCACTTTCCCACCGCATCCCTGTGCTTCCCAAGTAAACCACTTGCACACAATCTTTGTCTTAGGTCTGTTTGGGGGCGGAGCAAGGAATGCAAATCAAGACACATAGCCACCCTGGCCAGTGGCCAACCTTAACTCGTTGGAGCATCATCATGAAACCAAAGGTTGCAGATTTGATCCCATATCAGCAATCAATCGATGTCTGTCTCTCATATCAATGTTTCTCTTGCTCTCTCTCCACCTTTTTCTCTCCCTGCCCCACTGCAACTAAAATCAATAAACATATCCTAGGGTGAGGATTAAAAAAAGACACATAGCTACTGAGTGGCAGAATCAAGATTTGAACTCAGGTTTGGGTAATTCTCAAACCCATGCTTTCCACTTCCCAATGTTTTCCTCTGACCTCAATAGAATCCCAGTCCCAAGAAGAGCCTTTCTTAGAAACACTCTAAAGCAACTGTGACTTTGATCCATCATAGTCAGGTTATTCTCTCTCTTTCCACCAACCTAGCCAATGTTCAGTCAGCTCCAGCTCCTACTCTTTGCTGCCCATCTTGATACTCAAGGGCCCAACTCATCACTGACACTGGGGACTTCACAAAGCCAAGGCCATTGTCTGCCTTTCTAGGTCACAGTCACAATTGCAATGGCAGCAAAATATCACAGGCTACCCCTGCAGTGCCCCTGGGCCTCTGCCTGGTTCATTTGCCAGGGCACAGTACCCTAAACCATCACCATTGCCAACAGCCCACTGCTCTCTCCTAGAGAAGCAGAGGATCCTCCCTTGTCCTTTTCTAATGTTAGTAGAAAGGTCAGAGGGGTTCATCTTGACATCCTTTATCTTCTGCTTCTCAGAATTTTTGAGTTGCTGCTCTTCCATGCCTCCTATTGGGGTTATCACTGCACGTGGGATTAACACCCTGTATGGGATTACCACCATTTCAACAGGAGCTATCTATTGCCCTACACAAACCAGACAAGTCATCTGTTCCCCTGCGCAGAAGGCTCTCCTCCCTGATTCACAGTCTGTGGAGGAGAGGGCAATGAAAGATTCCCTTCTGCAGGATTTATATAATTCAGAAAAGTGGCTGGATACAAGATAAAAATATTTTAAATGTTTCCCAGTATACCAACAATAGCCAGTTTAAAAATATAAGGGAAAAATAATGCTATTCATAGTGGTAATAAAGCATATCTAAATGCCTAGGATAACCTTAACGACAAATGTAAAAGAAAATTAACATATTTTACTAAGAGATTTAAAAGAAAACTTGCATAAATATACGAAATGGAAACAAAAGAATAAAAACGCTACTGTATACACTCTTTCTTCATCCCAAACTATCACCATTCTGCCACCAAAGATACTATTTAAAAGAAAAGTATAACACACATTACATGCATGAGTGTAGAGTTGAGCTGTATGGTGTTTACAAGGGTGTATGTGCCTTATAATAATTTACTAAGCTTTACATCTTTGTTTGTCATCTTCTATATCTATGCCTTGACAATATCTGACTGAATCTGGGACTCAGACAATTAGGTCACCCTATTACTATGTCCTCCAGGGCATCAAACAACTTGCCTATCAAAAGTATTAAATAGCATGTGCCCAATTAGTGTTGGAAAAGAGAAATTAGTAATGTTGCCCTTTAATGGATATGAAAATGGTCCTGTCTTCCCCTCATCTCATTCCCAACTCATCTTCTCACACCTACATTTCCATTTCTTGAGCGTTTACCCAGCATCCTCTGAAGTAGATTCTTTTTATACTGGAACCTATGAACAGGTCACATGTTGACATTTGTGGTTTCAGTCCTCACTGTGTTGGAAGATAATTACCTGTGAATGTTCTCATGTTTCTGCATGTCATGGGCTTTCTGAGCAAAGAGCACTGGCACACCTGGTGAAAGGGAGATTAAATAAAAAGCATGCCTCATAAGTTAGAGATAGTATGTTGCTCCAGAGACATTTAGGAACTTATTTCCCCCTGAAGCTATTTGCTTACATTGCATGGAAGTAAAGGAAAATTAGAGATTAGAGATTAGAGATTGTCCGCTTGCCTCCCCAGAGAGGATTTTTTTTACATTCCAGAATAACGGCCCTCTCTCTCGTCTCTCCTTTCTCTCTCTTTCTCTCTTTGGAGGAGAGAATGGACCAATGAACCAGCAGCCCTGTATAAGCTCTGAGTCTCATTATTTGGGGGTTGTTCTCTTGTGGCGCAACCCCCATTGCACACTCAGGAGAATGCAGGCTCTTACCACATTGCTCTTAGGG